ACCCGAAGGATCTAGAAAATAATCGAGGGGATTTAGTAAAATCGTAACAATATAGTTAGTACTACTATTTTTTTTATTAATATTTCATCTTTAGAGCAAAAGATTTTTATGCGATAACTGTTTATAAAAGTAAAAAAAAAATACTCTTTCTCCTCTAATAGGTATATTATTGTATTTGAACAAGGTATACCTCTCTCAATGTTTCTGGCGATCTCCGAAGCTAATAAGCACGGTTGATGGGCAGGGGAAGGAAAGAATGAAGGGAGAGACGGTTTCCGAAAGACATGAAATATGACCAAAATCTAACTCTTTTCCTTCTTATTATGTGTGCGCAACAAACTTTAATCATGAAAATAAAAGTTTCTCAAAAAATACATCAATTGTTGTTCGGAAATATCTATATGATATTAATATTATTATTAATATTTTAATAACATATCGAAATTTTCGTTTCTATCAATAAGAAAATTTCCATAAAAATATTAAAGAAATAAGCTACTATATTTTCAGCGCTAATATATAAGCGTACGTTGATAAATAATTGTCTATATTGAACTTCTTCCACTATCATACGGAGACAGAAACTAAAAAAAAGTAAAAATCCATTAGCCGAGGGAGTGCAGAATATAAATTATTCTCAAACTTCAGAACGAATTTGCAGGTGAACGGTAAAAAAGAGGGGATAATGGTGTAATAGTTGCACGATTACGTCGATATTCAGTTCGTGTACATACACGACCATAGGGATCATAATGATCATCAAACTTTATTGAATTCTCTCTGTTCACTCAACACCCACCCTACTTATCTTTTCTTATCAAATATGACTTTAAATGAACTTTTTTCGGTACTTTACGCAATTAAAGTTACCAACCTCTCATGGTATAATGCTAATTCGACGTCATATATTTGAAATAATGCCCGTACTTGTGACTCAAGGAATGCATGTACCCAATTTCATCAAAATGACTCAAGTAGCAAGTTACTGACTACATAGACATATGGACGGACAGACAAACGCGACTAAATCGATTCGCCTCGTCATATTTATTTCGCTTATTTTAATCTGTTGCATACAAAATATATTTTATGTACAAATTAAAGGTAAAAGAAAAGGAAAAAGTGGGAAGATCTCCTCCTTTATGACGGATACAAAAGAGACACTGATGATTACATCATGTTCTTCGAAGCGAGTATCCAAAATCCCGAATAACGTAACAACATGCAATCCAGTGCTGGGTACGAGCAATCAATAGTGTACTTACGAGAGCGGCTAGCGCAGCAGTGAGTCAGTTACAAAGTAAACTCGTTGCTGACAACACTACTGAGAATTGAACTTTGCGAACTTTTATTAAGTTAATTTAAGTTCTTTTACAAAAACCTTAATATATTGTAAAACAAATTTGAAGACTTTTATTTAACAATATACTGATCGAACTTGAAGGATTTTAATAAAAGTGTTACAATAAAAATTTCAATATTTTTCTCAACCAATGTGGCAACATTATGTTAAATTATAAATAATGAAACAGTACAGTGTGTTGTTGTGGATGGTAATAATAATGCAGCGCTCATATTTTTCGCATTTTTAAATAAGAGCTTGTTTTGACAAACCATAATTTAGAGACTTTAAGGTTAAATTGAAGGTGTCATACCTTAAAACCACTATGGTTAAGATAGGCAGAAATGCTTAATAGAATGAGAAACCGAAATTCAGTTGAAAGCTCATATTACGGCTTTTTTAACCTTTAAGTTGTTTGGATCAGCTCTTATGTTATGGTAATAAGTATGGTTAAGCTATCATTGTTAGCGGCCTATAGCTTAGAGTATGGGTGGAGCGCATAATCGCCAATCTGACTGATTGCATCCAGAAACGTATGGCACTCATACATATACATAGTATATATATGTATGCATTGGTATATACTCAAAAATTTTTTTTATGCAAGTGGAGTGGAAGTTCTTACCAAACTACATACGTATGTGTGTATGTATGTATATATGCAATTTCCTTGAAATTCTGTTGTAAATGCGGTAGACCGACGTGAATGTTTTGAAATATGCAAATATCGAATAACAACCGCTAAATGAAAACGAATTTGAAGAGAAGGGCAAAAAATGTATTACCGAGGAGTGTACATATGTATGTACATGCATAAGTATATATGTATGTACATATGTATGTATGGATCTATGTATGTACACACAGTAAATCAGTAAGTTTAATTGATTTAAAAAAAAAACACTATTTTGTTTGCTTACACGAATATTTTTCAATATGATGTTGTGACGTAAAAACTCAAATGGTAGACACTTTGCTTTAAAACCTAACCCCACATTTCCACTGGCGATCATCGTCAGCTTCCGTAACGTCAACTGGGGGTTGTTCATATACATTTCCGTCCGATCCAAATTTGTCGTATGAGCTAAAGGCGGTTAGCACAATTAGTCTGACCAGCAGAAGCTTCAAAAATACAGGTTTAGGAGCTACATACATACGAGTACATGCTAGAAATACATAAGTAGATGTTAACTACGACCTGGAAGTTTACTAATGAAGTGTACACTTGACTTCACTCAACGGTGCGGGAAGGTAAACTATCGAAAATGTCGTTAAAATAAAGGAAATCGTCGTTAGTCGTATGCCAGTGAGCCGTCACAAACGGTTTCCAAGCCAAGATTGACAGCCAGGAAGGTTTTGTTATGTGCTTGGTGCGTTTGGCAAGGAAACATTCACTATGTGCTGATTCCCTACGGCCAAACTCTTAATTCCGACCTGTACTGTCAGCAATGGAACGATTTTAAAGAATGCTATGACCCAGGAGTACCTAGCTTTGGGCAAGAGGAGGAGAATTGTGCTTCATCAGGACAATGACAGACCACACACACACACACATAGATAGTGACTCGCCAGCAGTTTGGAGAGTTTGGTTGTGAGGTTCTTATGCATCAAATTTATAGTCAAGTGATTAGCAGCTGTTCTTGTAAGGCGAATGATTTGGCTGGCGAAGAATTGACTTCAAGAGAAGCGCTTTGAAAATCGATTGCTAATAGGGAGAAGGGTTTTATGAGAGAGGCATATGACATTACCTTCAAAAGGGCTAAAAGCTAGCGAGCAAACCGGTAGATTTCAGGTAATATCTCAAGTGATAAATTGCCAACTTCAATCAATTTGTTGTCTCGACAGGCAATTTCCTTGAGAATTACAAGTTGTAGTTGTTTTGAGTTGCGAGTAGTGTAGTGAGTTTATTTACGCAGTTTCAGGCTGCCTGCCGTAGGAAAATCCCAACGGTAAGTAATAACGTTAATTAATGAGCCCTTCTTGGCCATTCAGCTCACTTAACTGAATCTTTTTATGGCAAAAGCATGCCTTTACAGTGATAATATTGTATTATCTATATCTCTATTGTATAAATTATAGCTTAATACCTGTATTAATAAAAAAAAATGTTAATAAAAATCGAGTGACTATCATTTCCGACAGCTGATAACGGAGCTGAGGAATGATGTGGCGAAAGAATAGTTTATTTAAAAAAAAAAAATAAAAAAAAAATATTAATATATGTATAATAAAATGGTTTGCTGATTATTCTTAAGATAAGACGCAGAATTGCCTTTTGCCGCGTTCAATTTAATTAATACACGCTCATATTAATTAAGTATGTGTATACAAAAGATCAAAATACTTTAAGTACACTACTTATGTCTTATTTTTGAAGGGAAATGTAAACAAAATAAATTATGATAATTAAAAATAAATAAATAAATAAATAAAAGATTGAATATTCGTACCTCTGTACATTTTTTTATGGGATTTTGGGCAATTCTGATTTATCTAGCTTGTATACACATTTTATGTGCAAATATATATGCATGTATATGTATGTAAATATGTATGTCCAACTGAAAAGTCATACCTATTATATTTGTTTTTATTTATTGCTCTACATTTATACGCTAGGTGTCTGACCCTGAAAATACGTAATACATATATACAAACATACATACATACATATATGCAAATATATGCCTATGCCTATATGTCTGTATGTAGGTACAAATATTATGCAATGCTTTTGCATTCATTTAGACATGCAGACGGCGTGTGACCAGAAATCATAAACATATACATACATATATTCGTATATAAATATGTACATATGTACATACATATGTATGTGCAAAGTCTGGTACGTTCGTTTATAAAATTAGCGTAGATTTTAAGCTGCAGACATATGTACATATATGTTTGTATATACATATAAGTAAGTATGTAATTGTAATGCTCAAACATACATATGTGTGCATATACTCGTACTTTAGTGAATAGCCTGCGCTCCCCTGGGTCATTAAGAACCTTTCTTGCCCTTGACTAATTGTCTTCCTGCTGTTTAGATTTCCTAAAATCGAGTACTTGATTGTCAGCCGTGCGACTTATCACCGTTTTCTTTTTTTGTTAACAGATACAGCTTAGTTATCCTAATTTTGTTATTTCTACTAACCACCTGAGTAATGCAGAAATACAGCTTGGTATAAACGAATTTCTTAATTCACGCCTAAAACTATGCAATGTTGTTCGCTGAGTGGTTAGGGAAAGATTACATGAAGAAATCATAAAAAGTGTAACTTTTGAAATATATTTTTTTTCCTTGTAAAACGCATTCTACAACAACTGTATAACAGTTATAAGTAATTGTAGATTTCACAAAGTTCGTCGTAATTTTTGTGAGTCATTTGTAAACCACAACCAAATGCTTATAAATAAATTAATTAATGCCATGCAATATTAAAACACTAATAATTAAGAAAAAAATCTTTACCTGTATTTAGAAATGGTGAATGTTTCAGTCGTAAAGCGTTTTGTGCACGAATTTCCATACGACTTATTGTTGTTGTTGTACGTAGTTGTTGCTGTTGAACTTGCTGAGGACGCGTGTAAAACTTTTTCAAATCCATTGTGTGTGTGGGTGTGTGAATGTTTGGAGAAAGGAATTGAGTCTTTTTGATAAGAATACTTTATTGTGTTTTTGTATTTTTTTTTTTGGAATTAATACTGAGTTTGTTGTTATAAATTAACGTTGTAGAACTATGTACATAAGATTTTGGCTTCAATTTTCAATTTTTTATTTATATTTTTATTTATATTGGAATAAAATTTTTTTAAAATTGTTTAGTTTTAGTTTTATTTTTATTCTATTTTATTTTTATTTTGTATTTAATTTCAGTTATTTTAATTTGTAATTTTTTGTTTTATTTTTAATTTTATCTTTGTTATTATTTTATTTTATTTTAGCACTTTTTATTTAATGTTTTATGTAATATATCTAAGTTTTATTTTCCTTAAATTAAATTAAATTTCTTTTTGGTTTTTTATATTTAATTTTTTATTTTAATTATAATTTTTCATTATTTTATATTATTTAGCTTAATTTTATTACTATTTTGTTTTACAGTATTATACAATATTTTTTGTTATTTTTTTACAAGTTAAATTTAATTGTCTTTCGAACTATTTTTTTAATATATTTTTACTTTTATTTTTATTGCTATGTTTTTTACTTATAAATATTTTCTATTACATTAATTTCATTTGCTTTAAAAATTTTATTTCGCTCTTCCTTATTTAGTATATTTTTCATTTATGTTATTTATTATTTATGCCATTTGTTTTAATTTAATTTAATTTAACTTTAATTTTTTACTCAAATTTATATATTTTAGTTTTTAAATTATTATTACTTTTAATATAATTTTATTTTATTCTAATAAATTTGTATTTTGATTTCGTGTTACTTTATTTAATTTTTTGTTTTTTGTTTTTACCAACTTAAATTTTATTCTAAATTATTTTGTTATTGAATCAGTTATTTATTTTTTTTGTTTTATTTAATATAAATTTTGTTTTATTTGGTTTTATTTCTATTTTTGTATTTAGCTTTATTTAAATATTTTTAAATGTATTTTGTTTTATTTTATTTATTTATTTTTTCTATTTTATTGTGTTTAAATTTTACTTTTTATTTTACTGCATTTATTTAATTTAATTTAATTTTATTTTATCTAATTTTCGTTTGATTTGTTATACTTCATTTTATTATATTTTCTTTTATTTTCTTTTATTTTATTTTTATTTTCTTCTATTTTATATTTTTTATTTTCTATTTTATTTAATTTTTATTATTCTATTGTAATTTAATTTTATTTTTTTACTTTATGTGTTATTTTATTTCATTAAATTATATATATATATATATAATATTATTATTTATTTATTTTATTATTCCAATTTATATTTACTTTATTTAAATTTTTACCTTATTTTAGTCTAATTGTATTTTAATTTGTTTATTTTTACATTATGTTATATTATTTATATTACTTTAAATTTTTTATTTTATATTATTTTATTTATCTTAGTACTTTTTTATTGTTATTTTTATTGTTATTTTAACTTTTACTATTCTTATTGATTTTTATTTTTTTTTATTCAAATTGATTTTTATTTATTTTATATTAGTATTCTAATTAATTAATATTTTATTTTTGCTTAGATTATATTATTTATTAATTTTTTATTTTATTCTATTTGGTGTATATTTTTATTTCGCTATTTTATTTATTTTATCTTATTGGTTTACGTTATTCTGTTACATTTAGTTTTTTTATTTAAGCTATTTTTATTCAATGTAATAAATTTTTTATTATTATTTTTGGCGTGTTTTTTTTTTCAATTATATATACATATGTATATACTTTCATTTTTTGCGATTATTTATATTTGTGTATGTTATTCAATTCATTTTCTTAATTTAAGTGGAATATTTTATAATTTGTTGGGTCGTTAAAATATTTAAAACACTCGTGCGACGATTATGTCTTTTTCAATGTGTTAAGCTCTTTTTGACAAACAAACACAGTCGATACATACATAATTACACATACATATATAAACACTTTTCACAGCCTTAAAAATTGTGTTCTCACTATTTTATCACATTATTGTTTATTTATTTCCTTTCACTTGAAGGTTTTTCAATTAATTCTTTTATCGTTAATTTAATATTAATTTTTACTTTCACAGAAATATACATACACTTGAGAGTTAGCAAACAATTTGAAAAATAAATGTAAATTAATTATTTAATTCACTTCGGTTCGAAATTGTTGAAATTGAATTGTATAAGTGTAGTTAAATTTAAATTACGCGAAAATCAATTTTTGTTGAACTTATTATTGTTGTACCCAACGACAAACTAAACACTAAAGTTATTATTCCATCGCGTATGAGTATTCTTCCTTGTCGTGGCAGCAGCAGCTGCAGCTGCAGCAGAAACATGAGCGACAGCAGCCGCCGCAGCAGCAAACGCAGCTACACTAAATGTTGTTATTGTTATTATTATTATTGCTACTGCTTCAATTTGTATAAATTGTTTTTTATTTTTATTCTTATTTGTTTTTATTTTTTCTTGTTGTTTTTTATCGACGTTGTCATTATTATTTATTATTACACTTTGGTGGCGAAATTTATTGTTGCTTCCCTTCTTGCACCTTTTTACGCGAAATTCGTACTTGTGAACTTAACAAATGTTTAAGAAACGAACAAAACAAAAGAACAGTTGTTTGTGCTTGCTTAGTGCTGCGCTGGGTACGAACAACTGAAATGAGAAGCGTCGTGTAAAGCAAAACATAAAATTACAATAAAATGTACAAAAATTTAATAACAAAAAGAGCTTTGCAAATACAGAAATACTTGCATATATATAAATATATATATATATATATACATATATATATGTGTGTTATTCATTAATGTACATAAGTACGCGTAAAATGTAAGGAAATAAGCAAAGTGAAGGAGACCAAATTCATTAAATAGCATGCAATATAACCAAACGTCACCGACAGCTGACTAAGTGAGCGTTCATTTAGGCGTTTGTTTGCGCGACGTAAGGAAGAAAAACGTAATCTATATATATATAAATATATATATGTAAATTCAAAAACTACCTACTCTGTAGGAAAGCTCTCAAGTCACAATTATTCATCGCAAGATAGGAAATAATGTGCAGTGTCTTGGCAAACCCCCAATAGAAGAATTATACACTCGCTTGACATCCTTTATCGAAAATTCCTTGCTTATTATTAGTCTTTTGACTTTTTATGCTTATATAATATAACGCTGTGTAAGTGAAGTGACTTTTGATATTCTGACGCAGTTGAAGAAATTAGAAAACAGCAGTCAAATAACAAAAATGACGGTTAAAAGTCAGACAGAGCTCTCACGTCAATCGGTATGCCAAGTAAAGTAATATTTTTGGTTGATATATAGTATAATGTATTTTAAGTGTGAATATTGGCTGTCAAGCTTGATCATTTTTTCGCAAGATTATACACATATGTATGTATATCTGATGAACGATATACCAACTTTTTAAACAATATATTTTGGGTTTTTTCTTCGGATAACAGATTCACTAGGCTACTCTATGCGTCTACTATGGAACATGCTACATTTAACTGGCCGTGATAAAACAGGTATTAGTACTATCTTTACGGCGCTAGCCCCATTCCAACTGTCTGTGCTGGCTTACCTTCGATTGTCTCACTTTGAATGTCTTATATGATCCTGCTTTGGATGTTGCCAAATTTGGTCTAATTTGCCCAAAAGTGATGGTATCCACTTGCAATCTGCATGCAAATAGAACATAGATCTGTGCCCTGTGGGGTAGGGGTTCAAGTAAAGCATACCTGTCGTAAGAGGCGACTAAAATCTAAAAGTTCCCCAGACAGTCTGGTATTTATACCGAAACGATCCGTATTTTTAACCGTCCTTAAATATTACCTAAAAACTACTTTAGGGAATACTTGCTGTGCTTCAGGTGCTTAAAGAAAGTCTATGTATGTACTTTTAATCTTTTATCATACTTTCTATTATAGCTCTATTCTGTTTTGACAGCAAAGCAAGCCAGCTGACATTAGGACATCACCTTCAACTTTTGATATAGAACTTTATTTCCCATTATTGTGAAGTAGACTTTGATGTTAAGCCGCGTTCTTTAGAATACTATCTGCTGATTTCATGATATGTGGGGAAAAATACAGACTCTGATCGAAAGGACAGTATAGTAGTCTAGATAAATGTTTTCACATACAATCTAGATTTTATAGCAACATAGTTGCCGGGTAAGCTCTCAATTTCAGTAATAGTGTTGCGAAACCGGAACACCTGTCCGTGTGTACAGGCACTCGACTGAAACCAACGGATTCGAACTGCACGATTAATTTAAAAAGCATTTTAATTATGACTAGAGCTGATTCATATTTTAAGTATAAAATTGTACGCGCGCATAACAATTCTGAATATTTAGTTTTGGTAAAATTTTAGCTTTAAGCTGACCTACAGTGGAAGTCACGGCACGTAACCTACTTGTAGAGAAAATTATTATGTAATTGGCGCTTGTAACTGCTGAAGCGATTTTCAGCAGAGCTCCTGCTCCAATTTGTGGTTTAGCGTCTTGATGTTTTTTGAAACAAATGTAGAACCGTATACCCCAAGTTTATACTAAGCCGCCTCCGAACGGCTGATGGGTTTTTATGAGGAGCTTTATTAATACACTCGGAGGGGTTGACATCGCCTGCACAAATAAGTTTCAGCTTGTCTTTGTTAAAAAAAATATTTATTGTGAGGGAACATCAGTCAACAATTAATCGAAGCATTGTCCAACACAGTATTCCACATCTGAAGAACTAATCATCTCTTGAGCCTATCCTCAAATCAAGCCAATTTTTGATAACTTCATAGAACAGAAGATAGTGGGACGGCGAATTCTTTGGTGAAGGGTTAGTACTTACCAATCAATTGCTTTTAAATAGTTTTCACTACAGCAGCCGCTTACTATGAATGAGAATTCTTATAAGGAAGAATTATTTTGTCTAGTGTGTAGTAATATTGCGAACGATTTTTTTTCCTTCAGACCTCGGCTCAATCTCATAAGCTGTATTCGGTAGAGGGTTCCAATTGTTGTTTGGCTTGGACTAAGCAGCTCGGAATACACCACTCTATGCACACATAATTTCCGTTTTATTTTTTAAATTCTTAAAGGAGGAGGGAAAAAGTGTCTAGAGGCGATGATAATCGACCGCTGTAAGTAATAATACTTACATATATTTATCTTCAGTTTAGCTATGCAGTGAGTTGGCCATTAAGTTTGCATTATATGCGTGTTCCCATGAACCCCGGCATCTAATATGCCTTGAAATTAATTGCTTTTGTGGAAGATGTTGCTACAAAAGAAAAGTTAATTTCATCACAAACCATCTACAATTTTCCCACAGGGCATGCGCACATGCCATAACTCAAATGCAAGTGTGTATATTACAAAATTAGGCTGTAGGCGCGATTGTACACCTCAATGGGTAAATGTAGATCCCGGTGCTGCGGACGACATTGGCGACATTACAGTTGATGTTATTGTTATTGCTGTTATGCTGCTGCCGCCGCAAAATGTTTGAGTATTGCACTGTCAGTGTCAACAGCAAGTAGGCGTGTATTTACATATAAATATATATGTGTATGTATATATTACAAAAATATTGCACCTATGTTTATATGTATGTGTACTTGTATACATATGTATGCGTATATATGTATGTAGGTGTACGTTCCGACACGTGTTTGCCAATTCAACTAGTTTATTTGCAAAACATTCTCAATTGCAAAAAAGCGAATGAGTAGACAAAACAAAAAGGTAAACACAAGTTTCAGCAAGATAACTAAAATAACAAACAAACATATAAACACGTATGCATCTAATAAACAATTGTAGCGTAAGATATTTAGTAGATCTAGGCATTTATTGCCCACAAACGATCGCTAAAGCAAAAAATATGAAACCAGAGCCGTATTTGAAAGTGCCTCGGCACGTTTATCAAGTCACATGTGACCTACAAGTTTAGTGGAAATATACGAACGCATGACTTTGTGTGCATTTACGCAATGTACTTGCGAACAGGGTGTTTCGTTGGTCGAATGAGATTATTTGAGAAGGACCAATACCAGCGAATGTGCGTGTCGGTTCTAAATTTTCGTGTTCAAAAACAAAAAAAAATTTTAGGATATTTTAAATTTTTAAAGTATTATCTATTTTAAATTCTAAATTTAAATAATAAATAAACTTTTTTACATTAAATAATTCAATTATTTTTCATTCATCTCCCATTTCCACACCATTTTTTCTCTCTTGTCTCTCACATAATGCGCTCAGTTTCAAAAAAAAAACGAACTCTTAGTGGGCGCAACGAAGTGGTCACGAAATATATATTTGTATGCATGCATATACATATTGACGACTGGGCTTATGAATGCTATTTAGCGAATAATAATGATTTGCCAAATGTACCGAAAATTTTTTAGTCACAAGTGTAAAGAATTGTTGATCATAAATATATATTATATGATATATGTATATATATATATATATATATATATAAATATATATTTATAATTGGCGGTTTGTAACCGCTGAATCAATTTTTCAACCGAGCTGCTGCTCCAATTCGTGATTTTGCGTCATATTTAATATATATATTTGTATATATAAGTATACTAAGCAGCCTCCGAATGGCTGATGATTTTTAATGAGCGACCGAGAAACGATCGCAAGAGAAAAATAAAAATTTTTTATTTAAATTAATTTTCTATAACTTTCAGATGTTGGCCTGACTTCCACTCGAACCCTGACCTTTCAAATGGCAGTATGCGTATGCAATACTAACGGTTATTGTAGCCACATAGTACATAAACGTGCATGTACATGATTCTTCCATAAACAGGTGATATTTTTATATCCAAAAAAAAAAAAATGGCATTGCCGCTACAGCTACGCTTACAGGACCGTAACCATTTTATTAAATATTCCATCACCAAAATGCAAAATGGCTGCTGTATGTCCTCAATAGCTTCACAATTTTTATCTTTGAGGTCTTTAATTGACGTTGACCTGTTGGCGTAGGCCTTAACTTTCACGTGGCTCCATAGGAACAAGTCGCAAAGTGTTAAATCACAAGATCTCGGTGGCCAATTGCAATCACCTCTTCAAGAGATAACACAGTCCAAAAATTTTTCCCTTAAAAGATCTTATTAAAAGTAAAGGTTGCTCAGATCAATACCATTCAATTCCGGCCATAAAAAGTCAGTAATAATATCTCGATCAGTACAGTCATTTCGAATAGCTCGGTCACAGGTCTACCTCATATGCAGAACACATCCCCCAGGTTTCAGATCTGTACAAACAGTGGTTTAGGTTGTGGGCTGATCCGTCTGCCGTTAAGGACAAACAATTTTACATATATGAACGACCACTGCAATCTGCATTATCGGTGTCTCTACGACCGCTTTTGAAATCAGTAAAATCAATGATTTATTGTTATTTGTGATGCTCATACGTCTATTGAAAGTTGTGACTTTGAAATTGAAGACGAGTTTTTTTTTATCTAGGAACCAGAACTGGAATCAACAACAATGAAATCCGAAGCAGAATCCATCTTGCCAAGGGATTTTGCAACTCATACGTAAAGCCCTCTGATGAACAAATAACATACTTTACTAGTTGTTTCCTAATTCCATGGAATTACCGTATGACTTAAGTGGGGTTGGGTAGCCGAAAAAGTGATAGTCCTTCGCCGGATCTCCGGTACATAGAACCAGCTGTCGTAAACGCCGCATCAGTCTTCTTACTATATGGTGCGAAAGCCTTTAAAGAGAACAACATCTGACGATTCGGCACTTGAACTTTTGGAGAGGACGTACATAATGTCCTTTACGCGTTGGCTATGTTCGAGTACTGGATGGCGGATTGTTAAATCGGCTATAGTGGCTTAAGCCGTGTCTACGTCAGTAAATAAGATATGGAAACACATTAATTGAGTAGTCAACAGAGTGCGGAGTCATGGTTTCGAACCCTGACCAGGACACAACACATATTAGACGAAACAGAGTAACTAATTTGGTAAGATTTCTAGAGCTTCTACCGCTCAATCTTATAACGTTTTGGAACCTTGCTATTTTTCGGACTCTTTGCCATTTCACATTAAATTTAAAGGCAGTATTGAGGTATGGTCGGCCATGGTAAGCGAATGGTTAGCATTGCGTAGTGCGACCAACATCCAAAAGTTAAAGAAAATTAATTAAAAAACAAAAATTAAGTTAAATTTTGTAATAGCGGTCGCCCCTCGGCAAGGAATTTCAACAATCCCGAGTGTATTTCTGATATAAATAAAAAGTTCCTCATAAAAATTCATCGGCCGCTCGGAGGAGACTTAGTATAAACTGTAGGTCCCTCCATTTGTTGGAAAAATATCAAGGCGCTTGGCAACGTGTCAATTATATATTGAACTATACTGAAGTAAATATCGGCTGGGCATTTATCCATACTTGTTTTGCGATCGGCACCACATTGATCTGCGGATTGAAACTAAACAAAAACAGATGATCAGCACATAGACATTTGCTTCCATAAACACTAAATAATTTATATAAAATTAAATACAAAAGCTTACAGATAATTTTAGAATTCTTGACCTTATCAGTATTTTCTATTGACGCTTCAACAACGTTTGCGGCTTATCAAGACGAGCTCCGCCCAAATGACTATTTGATTATTGTACAAAAATAATATTTCGAAGATATTTTCATCCTCACAAGCATGTAAGCGGACGCATACCCGCAAAACTGGTTGAGTACTAAATTTTTCCGCAATCAAAGTCCGGCGTTTAGTATCAGCCAACTAACGCTACCCTCAAGTCTACTTCTGCGCCCAGAACTACAAAAATGATACAAATCAAACATAAACGCAGTGGAAAAACATTAAAAATTAATACATTTTGGCTACGTGATCATTGTCGTTGCGGCGACTGCTACAATGTGGAGACCAAACAGCGTAAATACAATTTGCTGGACATACCGAAAACAGTGAAGCCACTTAAGGCTGAGTACATCAAGGATGGCCTGCAATATGAGGTGCACTGTAAGTGAAAGGAAATTTACTGTGAAAATATATTTGTTAGTACAAAAAATGTATGCTTTTTACCCAAAACCGGCAGGGACCGACGGCCATATATCAGTTTACGACATTGATTTCCTGCATGATGCGCAAGTGGAGCATGTAGTGGCACGCGCCGAGGACTCCACCGTACGTACGCCTTGGAATCAACCGTTCATTGTCGCACACGAAGACCAACTGCGTACAACACTAGTCGAGCTGGTCAGTACTGAGGCTGCAGTGCGTAAAATCGTGCAGAGCCTAATCCGCTATGGCATTGCATTTGTTGATGGCGTTCCACCGAATACCACAATGACCGAAATGGCTGTACGACGCATTTTTCCACCGATGAAAACCTTCTTTGGCGAAATGTACACTTTCTCCGATGTGCAGGATCATGCCGATACCGCCTACTCTAAGCAATATCTCGGTTTGCATACGGACAATACATATTTCTGCGATGCTGCGGGTTTGCAATCTCTTCACTGCATACGCCATGTCAACGGCATAGGTGGTGACAGTTTCTTTGCCGATGGTTTGCATGCCGCCAACGAGTTGAGACATCGCAATCCGCGCGCATTTGAGATACTTACACGTGTGCAGGTGCCGGCGGAGTACATCGAGGATGGTCAATATCACAAGCATTCAGCGCCGATCATACGTGTGGATCCGGTGAGTGGTCAAATTGTACAGTTACGCTTGAATGTTTACGATCGCGCACAATTCGATAGCGTGCCACAAGAGGAAATGCAAGATTTCTACGAGAGTTTTCGTGATTTTCTAGAAATCGTGCAACGAATTGAAAACCATTGGCGTTTCAAATTGCAACCCGGCACGGTAGTGATCTTCGATAATTGGCGTGTTTTTCACGGACGTCACGCCTATACGGGTCAACGCACCATGACCGGTTGCTATGTACAACGGACGGACTTTTTGAGTAAAGCACGGGTTTTGGGTATCATAGACTGACGCTGGCGGGGGAGGAGAAGTGGAGAACAGAACAAGGAACTATAGAGAGACGTTTTTTCATCAAATATTAATTTCAGGAATTTTTAAAATTTTAAATTCATTTTTTATTTTAACACTTTTCTACTTTTTTAGCGAAATTAAAATATAAGGAATAAAAAAAATAGGTTTGTTGAATACTTCATTAATTTTTGAGTTCGAAAATATCTTAATCCTAGCGGCGAGCACGCTTTCGTGTCGAGGGTTCTCCGCCGCTCTCAGATGTTGGTGGTATATCCTGTAAAAAATGGTTAAAAGAAAAACTTTAGCGTAAAAAAAATTTCAGTACATATATATTTGGATCCTATTCTGTGTAATTGTCCTAAAATTTGTTATTAATATCCTCGATATATGACCCCCTACATGGTTATAAATAAATGGGAAAGAAACATATGGCTGCAGAAAGGTAGTAGAGCTCTTGATATTCGAATTGCTAGGTTATGCTAGGTTTAAGTGGCTGCTGGGCATCAACGCCTCTAGACCACTAAAGGTTTTCATTGTGATACCACTAAGAATCCCTTACTCGGCTGTCAAATCACTGTGTTGGGTTGACAAAACAAAGCACGACCGATGTATCTTTGTACCATCTATTTCGTTGAAGTCTTTAAAGATTACCAATTCTAGAGATTTTAGCTGACTCCTTAAAAAGCAGTGCGGGGCATTTGCAAGGAAAGTGCCCTGGTGTTTCAGATTTTTCTTTCTCTCTACAACCCCTGTATTAGTGACTTAACGGTACGCCCAGCTCCTACGCTTACCTATTAATAGAAGATGTCTCATAAAAAGAAACATCATTAAATATTTCTTCTTTCACATTGCATGTGGAGACCCAACCGTATTGAGTTAGCATATACGTCTTCTACGGTGAGCTTAGAAATGGAAAAGAAAGGTGAAAGGGCCCTCTCATGTTGACGAAAGTGGAAGGAAAGTGTCTTCCTTGCGAGCTCGTCGGCCATCTTGTTATCTGGTATGTTACTTTATCCTGGTACCCATACTAGGTTCAGAGCTCTTTTAGTGATTTGTGGCAATTCCCACTGCTTCCGGCTTTTTTTGGGTTATATTCCAGGGCTCTTAGTGCTGGCTGAATATCCCAGAATATATACTAAGTCCATTGTCACTGAACTGATTGAAAAATCCTAGATAAAAGCATCGAAACACAAGACATTCTCCTTGATTTAAAAGCAGACTTCCATAGCACTAAAAGAAGCTGCCTCTATGCCGCTATTTCTGAATTTGATTTAACCGCGAAGCTTATGTGCGTAAGCTGACTCTGAGCAACATAAAAAGCTCATTCAAGTACGGAAAGGTCTTCTACTAGTGACTTCTCGCCATAGATCCCTCCGATAGACAGATTAATGTTTTTTGGTGGCAGTGCATACCGGGGAATGATTAGCTGAGATTAAGAGATACAAAAGGCTTTGGCTACGCCAACTGGGCCACATAAACCGGATGAAGTGAAATTATAATATTTTAAATTCAAAGAGCATAATAATGATTTAATTAAGAGTTGTACAAACATACCGTTGAACCTCTTCTATTTTCATCTTGTATTTGCGTGCCAGTCTGCAAAAGATAAATAATTTATAAAATTAAAGTACAGAGAGTAAATAATAATTGTATTTACCGATTTTCTTACCGGTACCCAACCACGTACTAATAAAGCAGCGTCATTATCCGAATCAGAATCCGATGACGATGACGATGAAGTGCGCTTCAAGGCAGCTCTGCTTTGTGGTCTCGGCTGTACGCTAATTGCAACAGGTTGCTAAAATGATGCGCAAAACATTGTGATTAAAATGTATTTATTTATTAATTTTGAAATAATATTTCACTCTATTCGATGTTAAAAATTTTAACAAACCGCATTACGACTCTCATTGCTGCTTCGTGGTACTGGGGGCAACAAATTGCTGGCATTTGGATAAAAAATATGCTGAATTTCGCGCATTTTATTGATAGTTTTCTGCAAAAAAAAAAGAAAGCATACATAAAAAATAAATGAAAAATAAATAAGTAAATAAAAAGTAAACTAATAAGCAATAAATTAATTAATTAAAATAAAAAAATAATTGGAATTCCAAAAACGTATTAATCTTATAAAAATTAAATTTTTTAAATTCAATTATAGCTTACATCAGTTTCAGCTTTATAGTCGGCTTGTTCTTTATGTAGCTTGTCGATAATTTCATCCCTTTGCTTCAGTTCATCTTTCAAATTATTGAGAGATTTCTGGAATAAAAATCCAAAATTTTCCATATTAATTACAAATAATTTTTTCATCAAATATAAAATAGCATGGAAACCGCAGCCACAGAATAACAAATTTGGGCAACGAATATATCCACGCTTATATCTATCCTTGAATGAGCATATTTTTTTCAAAACGATCGGCGTACTTTCCGCAGTAAAATCCCATGTAAATCTCGATCACGTAATCTAAGCAAAAGCCACCTATGTAATGTATTTGAGTAAATCGAACCATAAATATGATTTTATTCGAATAGGTCCCTGGTTCTTTTTCCGGAGAGAAGAGTAGTCATGCTGCTAATGTAAGCGAAAGGCCACCTATGTATGTACCGAATTTCTAGTAAATTGAACCATAAATATGATTTTTAGAATAGGTCCGCGGTCTACTCCCCCGAGAGAGGAGTAGTCTTCCTGTTATTTTAAACAAAAAGCCACCAATTTTCTAGTAAATCGAACGATAAATACTATTTCTTCCAATAAGTCCTTGGTTCACTTCCGGGTGTGAAGAGTAGTCTTTCAGTTAATCTAAGACAAAAGCCATCAAGGTATCAAGTTTCTAGTAAATCGAACCATTTGTAAGTTAAGTCCTTCGTTCACTTCCCGGGAAGAAGAGTAAGTAGAATTCCTGCTAATTTAAGCCAAAACCCACCTTCGTTCGTACCGAGTTTCCAGTAAGTCGGTTCATAAATATGATTTTTTTTTGAATAGGTCCGTCCCTAGCCCACTTTCCGAATATTTTTCTGGCGAAAACTGACAAAATGTCGACGTAATCTGGTGGAAGGTTTCGGAAAACACAGACAACAAAAAAACGTTTACATATATACTTAAATAGATGATTATCAAACTTCTTTCAAAAAATAGCTACCTGCAACGCCTCCAAACACTCTTTGTTTTGACTGAGTTCCATTTTGCCTTTGGTAAGTTCAATATCAGCTTTGTCGCATTCATTTTGCTTGGCTTGTAATTCCCGACGAATAACATCAAGCTATTTGCAAATAATAAATTAGATTTTTTTTTTAATTTTTCGTGCTGAAACAAAAGAAAAAACCCACGCACCTCAACGTTCAACTTATTTTCTCTTTCATCACGCATTTTTAGCTCATTTTTTTGTTTCTCAATCACCGCTTGTAGCTCGATCTTTTCATTTTCACCACTAATCATCAATTCACCACATCGTTTTTTGTAAGCTAACAATTCAGTGCGTAACAAATTTTTATTTTCCAATAAACGTGTTTGCTCCTCTTTGTACTTTTCAATTTCGTTGCCAACCGTGATAATTCTGTAAAGAAAATTACATAAAAAAACCTTTAATTCTCCTTCAAAGAACTGCCGTGAAATATGCAAACCTCTCATTTAACGCCAATATGTTGCCTTGTTGATTGCTCAGTTGCACATTCAGCATTGAGTTTTGTTGTTCGAGTTTTTGGTTTTGTTCCAGAAGATTTTGCAAAATGCTGCGATGCCGATTTATGAAAGTTTGCAAGGCGTTTTGTATATTTTGTGAACTAACAAAGACCTTTTCAATCTCACTCCTCTCGGCTGGCTGCAGTGTGTTCGGTTGTGCTGCCGTGTGTTTTACCATCGTGTCTCTGCGTTTTGCTCTACGGTAAAAGAAAGTTGTTTATTGAAATAATTCGCTTTGGAAAGTATACTTTTAGGCGTTTCTAAGATACTGATGCTGATGCTAATGAACTTATCTAATATAATATGTCAACAACAATAATTTCTGTGACAATAAAAATGGAAAATAAAAAAAAAATGTTAGTAATTTTATTTTTTATTTATTTGTGGTTAGAAATTATGTACGAAGGGATTAACAACAGTTCGATTAGTTAGTGACTTTCATTTCCATTTTGTTAAATCAAAATATACCAAATCCTTGGCAATTTCTTAATCAGTTTACCTTAAAAATTTTAGAACAATTCGTCTAAAATGAGACGAGGAAACGCAAGATAGCTGAGGAAAGGTCAGACAAAATTCCACTACGAACGCAAACAGAAATTCGCCAAGTGATGCTCTTCGGGTTTCGGCGTAATTTACAGCCAATACAAATTCAGTCAATGCCAAATTGCATATGGAACCGTCTATAAAGATTATTTGTAAGCGGTTCCAAAGATTCCAGGACGAGCCCCGAGGAGGTCGACTAAAATCTTACAGTGATGACGTCAATGTAGCTCTTGTGAAGTCCAAAATTGACGAAGTTCCACGATTGGCACAATAAATGATTGCTGAAATGATTGGGCTGAAAGTCATGACTGTATCGTGAATAAGTAATCGTCTGAAATACACGAAGAAATCTGCTCGATGTGTACCACGAATTTTAAATGAGGCCCAAAAAGAGACTCGAATGCATTTTGTTTCCTTAGCAAATTCGAAAATGGTCAGTCTAGCAATTTTATTAAAGTCGTTACTGCTGACGAATTTTGGTTCTATACACGTAAGTAGGATCCAGAAACCAAACACCAGTCCATTGTATGGAGCCGAAGAGCAGCAAGCCCACCTGTAAAAACTAAACAACAGAAATCAGCAGCAAACGTAATGATGTCAGTTTACTTCAATCGATCTAAAATCGGGGCTGCTCTTCCATTGGAGTAGGGTCAGACGATAACTCCAAAATGGTACACCGAAGAGTGCTTACCAAAAGTTTTCAAAAATTTGTTGGAAAGCAGAAAGAAAGAGAATTTTTGGCGCTACTTTTTACATCATGACAACGCGCCGTTCCACACTTTTGAAAGAGCGAGTCAATTTATTTCGTTCCCTGCGATCCAGCCCCATATTCCCCGGATATTGTGATTTCTGGTTATTTCCAAAAAATAAAAAAAAACATTTTAAAAGGAAAGGTCTTTAATAGCAACGAAGATATAATTAATGCGGTTAATGCTGAACTTGACAAGGTTAAAAAGCAAGATTTTGAAGACTCTTTTCAGAAGTGACTCTATAGGCTTAAGAAATGCATTGAAAGCAATCTCGATTAGTCCATTCCCTATCGCGGGCAACAATTGGAGCTGTGCCCATTGACTTGATGGAATGATTTGAGGGAGGATCTTGGTTTGCGTGCTTATAAAATTCAGCTCGAGCAAGAATTGAAGCCGATTAATGACTTTTACGTGCCTAAATTGGAGAATGTTGAAGTGGACGACCTTTAGCAGCTCCGACAAGACGACGCTGCATGCCCCACAGGCAATGAAATAATCAATTTATTCACGGCTGCTTTGGTGAGCGCATTATCTCACCAAGATCGTGCGATTTAACAATGCTGGATTATTTTTTTGCGACGTTACATAAAGTCACTTGCGTGCGCAGATAAACCCGAGATGATTGACGCCATGGGAAAGAATATGCGGCGCGGTATTACTGACATACGACCCCAATTGCTGCAAAAAATAGTCTAAAATTGAGCCTCTCGGGGCAGCTGCGGCGTTCACTTGCCCGAAATGATTTGTTAAACACTTAATGGCAAACGCTCATTCTTATAATAAAGCTAAATTCTTGCCCGCAATATCAAATTATATGCGTTTTATTTCATCTTGAAAACTACAGCCTTGGCCAAAAATATTAGGCACCCCACTAATTACTGAATTTTTTGTTTTAACAAGTGAAGCAATGAAGTTTTATTAGTAAAACAGTGAAAATACAATGAAATAGTGACAATAACATTAACATTTCTTCGATTTAATAAAGGCATCAATTCTGTTAGGCATGCTGCGTACAAGCTTTGCACATTCATCCGCACTTAAAGCGTACCACTCATGAATTAAGGCCTTCTTTAAGGCAACAAAACAATGTTGTTATCTCCAAACCAACGCATCGTAGTCGCTGATTTGTGACAAGGATCATTGCCTAACTGAAATGGAACCCCGTCTAAATTAGTATAGCCGAAAATGCGCGTTAACAAAGGCAGAAGAACAGCATTTATGTATTTTTGACTGTCCATGCGATCCTCGCAAACGAACATTTCGCCGCCGCTATCAGCAGCCATGCAGCCCCAGATTATAATGCTGCCTTCTCCATGCTTATTGCAAAGAGTGGGTACCACGCAATCTGGATAATATTCTTCCTCAACCCGCCGCCTCACGAACGTCACACCAGATGTTCCAAATATCTGTAGAAAAGACAAAGTAATGTTTTCATACGATTTGTATTATGTCTTCGAAATTGCTCTAGGGTAAGAAGCTAGGACTGTTAATACTTTAAGACGATCTTAACTAGGCTTTCCTCTAAGTTTGATTCAACAGACCACAGAACATTCGACCAATTTTCTTCCGTGAAATGTTGGTATCGGCGAGCCCAATCCAAACGATTTTTCCTATTCTTTTCTGAGCGCCACGGCTTCTTTCGGGCTTTACATCCTTTAAAAACAAGTTACTATTTCAGTGAATATGAACTGTTTCTATAAGATCAGTAACTTTTCACTGAATGTAATTTACAATTCCATTTTCAAATTTTAAATGCGAAAATATTTTATGAATTTCTTAAAAATGACAATTTTTAGGTTTAGCTTACCCAGAGTGCTATGACTTTTAATATTACACAATTTATTCGTTTAATCAACATTTAAACACCCATGTAAGACATTTACAAAAAAAAGTGGTAACTTTGATAGCCACATTTGAGAATACTTGTATTTTAGTGGGGTGCCTAATACTTTTGGCCAAGTCTGTACATATATAAGAAAAACACCCTTCTTATGAAAGATATTTTCAAAACTAACACGAATATAAGAATTACCCAAAAAAACCAAAACAGCTCTCAGCTTTCTTTTGCATAGACGATGCTTCAGTATCAAGAATTGTTCCCCGAAATTCCTTACCTAAAACCACAAATAAAACAAAAATTGAGTTTTTTAAACTTTTTTTATTGGCTCAAATACATTAATACAAAAGAAAATTACACTTAGTTATTACAACAAAATCTTTAGTAGAGATTTGAATCTCAAAATAGTTTTACACATTATTAAGGCACATAATTTATTAATATTTTCGAGACATATGTATGTATGTATGTATGCAATTAATCGTTCTTCGACTTCTTCTTATTGGGTTTTAAGCATATTTATGTTCGTTTGTTTTTATATTTGTTTGTATATGTATGTGGTAATGGCAATTAAATACCATGTTTACTATTTTTTTAAGGATGGCTTTTAAATAAACTAACATAAAGTAAAAAATATATATTTTATATGTATGTATATAAAATATTTTTAACATTTTTCTTACAACAGACATTTATTAGTTTGCAATTATGCTTGTTTTTTGCTTTTTTAATTTTATTTTAATTTCTCTTTAGACTAAAATTAAGATTTTGTTCATCAATATGGCTTACAAAAACAATTTAAGAGTGTAGAAAAAAGTTGGGAGAGAATAATGAAATTGTATTTGGAAGGCGAAAAAGTCGAGCCGTAGCTTGAATGGAAAAATTTGTTTTTTTTTTGTTATTTTTATTTAGTTTTTGGCTTGGACACTCGCCGAGTCGCAAAATTTTGGTTTTATTGCAGTTATCAATTTGCTATTGTTTAAGTATAAATGCAATAATGCAACACACACGCACACATGTACAGCTGGCATGCTGCATACATATACGCTGCTCTCTCGTTCTCTCTCCCTCTCTCACTTTCTCCTTCTCCCACTTTCTTCCTATACCAACTAACTATTGTTTGTTACAAAAGAGGGAAATGTAGACGCCGCGAACCAACTTAGCCTGTACACAGTCGGTAGCTATCGGCATGCTCCTGTATCTTCTGCAGCGACAAGGTGAGCTCGTCATTCAAAGGCTTCAGCGCGTCTTGTAATTTTTGCAACGTATTATTCTTCTCCAAGTAGAGGTCCTGCATCATCTGCAGCTGATTCAGCTTGTCGTTCGTGTCGACGGTCAGCTTAGAGGCGCGTTGCAACAACTGTTTGGCGCGTTCGCGTGCACTCTCCGAGTTATGTGCACGATCGGTGAGCGTTTGATTGACCAAATTGGTTGCCGACTGCAGTTGATTGGAATATTCGCGTCCCTTGAGTGCCGCCTCCTTCACCGCAATCGCTTCTTTTTTGATTTCCTTGGCATCCAATTCGTTTTTGAGTATATTCTTTTGTATGCGACTTACTTGTTTGGCCAGATCCTCCACCTGCTGTGCTGTGGCATTGGCAGGCGCTTCAGCTTCGCTAGTCTCCAAATCGATTTGATCCAGATCCTTAGCGGCGAGTTCGATATTCACATTCGCCTGTGAGATGGCGTCGATAGCCTTGAGTTGTGAAGCGTCGGCGTCGTCGAGATTCTTTACCACCGTATTGGCGTTGTCGAGTATTTCGTTGGCGGTCTCTTTGGTTTGGTTCGCCTTTGCTTGTAGATCGTTTACGCGCGCTAAATCGCCACGTGTGTTGTAGATTATGGATTCGACATTTTTGAGTGAAGAAACGGCATCGTTGATTTTACCACCCAAGACCTGTATCTCTTCGGGATCCAATTTCAGATCGAGCTTCAGTGTTTGCTGTGCAATGTCGCGACTCTCGGTGGGCAATGCGGTGTCGTTGATAACATAGCTGTTCAACTGTTCAATCATATCTTCACCCTTCTTGATGTTTTCGTTGGTGCGGTTGAGATAACGTTCGGCATCTTCGAATGCGCTCTTTGCCTTCTGATAACCTTCGGATGCATTCACCTTAGCTTGGAAGAGCGAGCGTATGGTTTGATCGGCAACATCCTTTTTGTCCTTGATTATTTGTTCGGTGTCTTTAGCGACTTTGAGCGCTTTTTCGGTGCGTGTCAGCGCGCCTTGTTCACAAGATAGCCCACCACAAGAACCACAACCGGCGCCACCACATAGCGAGTCGCACGGATCACCGCTCTTGTCACACACCTCATTATTCAAACCGGGTATCATGCTGGTGAGCGTTAAGAGCTCTTCGCGATAGTCTGTAATGATGTCGTCATTGGCTGTGATTGTATCGTGTTCGTCTTTCATCTTATTCGCCAGTGTTTCGACACGCTTGCAGTTGCGATCGGTATTGGCCGCGTAGTCTTCGGCTTCATTTTTCACTGCCGACAGGTCTAGTACGCGTTCAAATGCATTGCGCGTCAAATTGAGCGCGCCCTCGATGTTGGATTCCTGCAATTGTATGCCATTTTCTTTGAGTTCTTTGGAAAGCTTTTTCACCAGCTCGGATTGATTACGCAGCGCCTCGAGTTCTACTGTCGACAGACTCAAGGATGAGTAAATGTTTTCCAAATTCTCTTCTGTTTCCAACAATTTTGTATGCGAAGCCTGCAGTTTCTCCTTCAAATCTGCGCCCTCCTTGTCCAAGGCATCGATGTCTTGCAAGCTAACTGTGGTATTCTGCAGCAGATCACGAATATTTTGCAATTTCTTGTCCAAAGTGCTGAACTCCGCCGTGTAAGCGCCAGTTGCACCAATCAATTTGATCTCTTTGGCACGTTGTATGGCCTCCGCAGTGGCATCTTCCAAGCCATGTAAAATCAAATCCCAATTGTTGAAACACTCGCCACAAGGCGCACAATGTGGGAAACGACCCTGGTAACCACGTGCGCATTCATTACACTTGTACCCGCCCATTCCTTCGTGGCAGACACACTGCCCGGTCTCACGATCGCACTGGAAGTCAGCCGAGCCATATTCGTCACATTCACAAGGTTGACACCGTTCGTTCGGGTTGCCCCAGTAGTTGGCCTGACACTGATTACATGCACGCCCACCAAATCCATCACGGCACTCGCATTGACCGGTAAAATGATTACACTGTTCGGATAACGAGCCAATCGGATCACATTCGCACGCCTCACAGCCCTCGCCTGAAGCGATCTTCCAGTGATTGACCGCGCACTCATCACAACGTATGCCATGCACGTTGGGCAAGCAAGGACACTGGCCGGTGAAGCGATCGCAAAACGAGACAGTTTTATTTGTACCCAAAAAGTCGCAATCACATTGTACGCAATTCTGTTGTAGGGCGTCACCGAAGTAACCGTTGCGACAGAGTTCACAATGATCGCCAGTGGTGTCGTAAAGACACTTCAAGCACTGGCCAGTTCGACGATCACAATTTCCCATGTCGTAAGGATCGATATTGTTGCTGCAATCGCATTTCTCGCATGAGCCGCCTGGTGTCTCCGCATCACCGAAGTAATTGTCAGCGCAGACTTCACAACGCGCGCCATCATAGCCCTCCTTGCAGTGACAGATCATGTTATTGTTGCGTGTGTCGAGCGAACAACCGTCGGCATGCGTATTACCGCTGACAACTGTGTCCGGGCAACGACAAGCGCGGCAGCCTATTTCGCTGCCCAACAAGGGGTTGCCATAGTAGCCATCTAAGCAAGCATCACAGCTGTAACCGTTAGTGAAGTCCAAACAGTTGATGCACTGACCAGTGTGCGCGTCACATTGCTGCGCGTGTCCGTTACACTCGCACACTTGACAGTTGGGGAAGTTCCAATAACCTGGCTGGCACTGATCACACTCACGTCCATAGGTATTCGGGTGGCAGGCACACTGACCAGTGATGAGGTCACAATTGTTGTCTTTCGATCCAATGCTGTTGCAGTCACAAGCTTTGCAACCCTCCGGTCCAAAACCGTACGTGCCCGGTGCACACTGATCACACTGACGTCCAATCACATTTGGTTTACACTGACAGAAACCGCCATGTGGCACACATTCCTTACTTAACGCACCCGTTGGATTACAATTACACATGCTGGCGCCGTCATGTATCTCCGTGCTGGCATAATTTTCGAGTTCCTTGCAGCGTTCGTCCACGATATTGGTGTACCGTATGTCGTACAGCGACTGGTTGCAGCCTCTTTGTATATATTCGCGACGACGTATCTCTGCAGGTATTGAGCCTTGGAATACTGATGTCACTTCAATGCGTGGTATGAGCGTCAGTGAATCGATCATAATTGTCGCTGTGGGGTTGTCTTCATTTTGTCGTCGGCGTTCGAAATGTATCTTGAACTTATAAACCTTGTTAGCCTCCAGGCAAACATTGCGTAGTGCGACAACTTGACGTTCGCGTTCAGGCAAAGTGAACGGTATGCGTGTCTCATACACGCTCGAGCCGGGATGCACGCTCTCTGCACAAACGCCATCCGGATCAACCTCGTCGTTGCGTACCAGCGTTATATAGGCCTTTTCCCAATCTTGGCGCGCTGTGGCCTGATAACGTATCACCACATCGTATGGCATGGAGCTCGGTATATCATTAACTGTTATTATGAATTCGGAGTTCTCCGGCACACGTGTAAAACCAATGCCGGTGTAGTCGGGCAGGCGATCGGGCAGCGGTGGATATGGCACAACTGTGCAATTACCGTTGTTACCATATGAAATGCACGCATCGGCAAACTCGGCATCATGTACAACGTGCAACGTTGGTATGAAGTAGTTCTGCTTAGGCTGCGAGCAATTGCGTCCGGTCATATGTGGACGACAGCGACACTGGCCCGTTATGACGTCACAGAAGTTATCGTAGGAGCCGCCAACATCGCAACCGCAATGTGTGCAACCATCTTCCGACTCGGAGAGACCATACGTTTGGGGCGCACATTGATTACAATCCTTGCCGGTGACCAAACGCTTGCAAGTACACTCACCGGTATACATATTGCAGCCCGAATTGTCAACGGTGCCGAGCGTATTGCAAGTACACTGCTCACAGCCATTGGGATTTTCAGGCAACAAATTCCAGAAACCATCCTTACAGGTATTGCAACGACGACCCTTTACATTGGGCTTGCAGTGGCAAGCGCCTGCCTCAACGCCATTTTCTGGATCGTTGACCGAATCACAAATGCCCTCATCCAACGAGCCATTCAAATCGCAATTACATGGTTTGCACACCTCCGGACTACGTATATCCTGTTCGGGATCACGATAGAAGAACGGCATACATTCCTCGCAATGCTGACCCTGCGTATTGTGCATGCAGTTGTCACACACACCACCAGATATGCGACCCGAATTCTCGAAGACAGTCTCATCGAAGTGACAGCTCACCGCATGATCATTACATTCGCATTTCTTACAAGCATTCGTCTGTTTACCGAACGCCGGCTTCCAGGGCAGATCATTGAAGAAGTCTTCACAAGTCTCACAATTCAAACCCTTCGTGTTGTGCGTACATTGACAACGACCATGTACCATATCGTATTCGGGCGACTCAGTGCCGTCCAAGGGCAGACATTGTGAGGCGTGGCCATAGCAAGAGCAGGAACCACGTACCACCATATTGCTGATGCCATAGTAGTATTTCTCCTCCATCTCCAGCCGATTATCCAATAGATTATCACCCAATTTATGCAATTTGGTGAAATTAATACGCAAATTGGTCATCTTCAACATATTCTGCACGTGTGTGGCATAAGGATCGGTGACGTTGATGTTTGGCGGCAGCACACGGAAGATAACCTCACCGTTACGAGATGGCTCCACATTGGAATAGCGTGATGTGCACATAACATCGGTGATATTGCGCAATATGACGGGCACACCAGGGAAGGACTCGGCGCAATCGTAAGCAAAGTAACGGTACACATGCCAAGTTTCGCCAAAATCAAATGAACGTTCGATCAACATGGCCGCCGGCCGGAAAGTGGTGAATGTAATGATCAAGTGAGTGAAATGGAACTCCGCCTCCAAATCCAATTGTATGGTGACATTCTCCTTACCATTCTCCGATTGCCACCACGTAGGCAAATTCGTGCCCGGTTTTGTCTTATATATTATCTGTCCGATACGATGATTCTTATACGGATCATTGCGTGTCTCTTCGCGTGTATCGCAGAGGAAACATTTCTTATCCTGCAAATGTGACAATATGCAGAAACGTTCCGGCGAATGTATACCACAAGTGGATGAGGCCGTGAAACGATTCTCACGTCCAATCAGCAAATTACCCGTTGCGGGATAACACGATGAACGCTCACATGGATGTGTCTTCTTGAACTCTCTTGGCGGATTGAGTGGGCGATCACGTCGTCCGGTGATACGTTGTGCCTGTGTTAATAACGCACAACTACTCAGCAATGCGAAGAGGCAAAATGCGATAAGCGTGCTGCTGATTTTGCTTTTCTTCTTATTGTTGTTGTAGTAGTAGTTGAGGCGGCAGCCAAATGCGCTGCCGCGCTGTGTGCTCGACATTATTATAGAGAATTGCTTATGGCGATTATATTACTCGCTGGCAGGCTGGCTGGCAGGCTGACTGGCTCTGCTTGTACTAAAATATGGCGGGTTTGATTTTCAATCGCCGAGCGTTTCATAAAATGCGATCTTTGTGTAATTTGTATATGGCTTGTGTATTGTATTGGCTGGTTGTATTTGTAATTGCTTGTGTGTGTATTGGTGTACTCTAAATAGCGTGTGAGTGTGTGTATGTGTGTGCTTGTCACAGTAGCTTCTGCAATTTCCGGTTGTAACCAGGCGTTCGAAAAATCAGAACACAAGCTCTACTGTTTTTTTCTGCGCGCTGCTGCTTCTTCCTCTTTTTTCCCACTTTCAATGTAGTGTTTATTTTATTCGAACTTATTCCACAAGATTACGCGCTTATTGTAATCACGGAAAAAGTATGGTAGTGTGTGTATTAACTTCCTCTCGTGGCATATGTTTATTTGGGAAAAATATCGCGTTGACCTCTTCTTGCTGTTGCTGTTTGCTGTGGTTGCTGTGGATGATTATGAAATACTTCTTCCTGCATTGCGTGTGGCCAGATGCATTATTGTTGAAACTCCACCTGTATGGGTGAGAGGTTGTTTGTTAGTACGCAAAATATGAAAAATATTTTTCATTTGACAATTTACTTGTTATGGCGTGAAGTGAAGCGGGGTTTTGGCAGTGTTTTAAAGTTCCCGTGCAAGACCTGCAAAAATTCATTTTTTAATATTTATAAATTTTTTTTTTTGATATGAAATAAATTACGTGAATATAGGAAATGAAAATATTGTGGACTTTTTAAGTAAATAAAAAAAAGAAAAAAATTAAAATAATATTTTTTAATGAGCTTTGCGCTTTATAAAAAAAGTATTTAATTAGGTTAATTTCAACTTTCTTACTGCTTTAACTTTTTTAACTTTATAATACTTTACATTATTTTATTCCAATTAATATATTTTATTTTAAGCTATTTTGTTTTGTTTCAATTTATTTTATTTTATATAATACATTCCTCATATTTTTACTTTATATTTTTATTTAATTGTTAAATGGAAATTTTTTAAATTTTATTCATTATTATTTATTTTACTTTACTTTATTTACACTATTTTATTTAGTTTGGTTTTCTCAATGTTTTTCATTTGGTTTTACTGTTTAATATCATATTTTTTATCTATTATTTTTTTATGTTGCTATATTTTTCATTATTCAATTTTATTTGCCTTTTTTAATTAATTAAATTAAATGTTTGATTTTTTATTTTATTTTAACTTTTCTTATTTTATTTTTATTTACTTTATATTCAAATAACCATTTTTCTTTTGCAATTATTTTTTTTTTAATTAATTTATATAATTTTATTCTATCACATTTTAATTCTTTTTTCTCTTGCTTTGTTTCTTTCGATACGATTTTTTATTATGGTTTACATTATTATTATATTTTATTTTATTTAATTTAATTAAAATTTAATTTAATATTCTTTAATATTTTTTACTCTATTTAACTCAATAAATAATTTAACTTTTCTTTCTTTTTAAATTAGTTTTTCTTTAATTTATTTATTTTTATTCTATTTGATTTTAATTTTTTTATTCCGTTCGAAATGATTTTTAATTATGTTCTATATTACTATTATTTTTTATTTAATTAAATTTCATTTAGTTGGTAAATATTGAAATTTAACTTAATTTTACTTAAATTCTTAAATATTCTATCTTAATGTAATTAAATATATTTTAATTTAATTTTTTTTTAATTAAATTTTTCTCTTATATCGCTTTCTTATTATGTTTTGCTTAACATCACATAAATTGTATTCATTTAGTTGAATTTAATTTATTTGATATTTTATCATTTAATTTAATTTATTTTATATATAATTGGCGCGTTGTAACCGCTCTAGCGACTTTTTGGCCGAGCTTCTACTCCAATTTGTGGTTTTGCGTCTTGATGTTTTTCCAACTGTTTATACTAAGCCGCCTCCGCACAGCTCTTAGTTTTTAAATTTATTTTATTCTATTTTATTGTTTTATTTTATTTTTAATTAGTATTTTTAATTTATTTTATTTTGTATAATTTTTTTTGTTTTATTTTATGTTAATTAATTTCCTTTAATTTTTTTTTATTTAATTTTTTATTTTATGTTATTTATTTTAATTAATTTTATATTATTTCTTTTTCTTTTTTTTAAATTTATTTTTGTCCCATTTTGTTTTATGTTATTTATAATGAGCTTACTATATTTTATTTTTATTAATTTCATTTTATTTCATTTAAATTTATTTTATTTTTTTCATGTTCGTTTACTTTTTTATTTCGTTTTATTTTATATTTAATTTTTTTCTGTTATTTTTGTATGCTATTTAATTTAATTTTTTTGTTTTTTTATTTAATTTGATTTATTATCACTTCTTATTTTGTTTTTATTTCATTTTATCATGTTTTATTTTGTAGTATTGTAGTTTATTATTTTATAAAATTTTGTAGTGGTCGCATAATTTTAATTTATTTTACTTAATTATATTGTAATAATTTTATTTTAATTAAATTTTGTGTTTTCCTTATTTCTCAAATTTTGATTTTCTCATTATGCATTTTTTTTTAATTCTTTACGAAAGGCATTTGTTTTGTTAACTTAATATAAAATTTCGTTACTTTTTTGATGCACATAAAAATTAAAAAAAAATATATTTGTTTTTGTTTTCTTTAAAACTGTTATTTGTAATGATTTCCTTCTCGATTAAATGTCTGTTTCTTTTCTGCATATATACATATATTTCCACTTGAAAACGTTTTTAGAAGTTAATAGGCTGAACTTCCGTTAAGTGAGTTCAGTTTGAGTTTCATAAGTATAATTTAATTTCAAAAAAAAACTATTATTTTATTGTTTCACGAACTTTTTTAAAAACAATTTTAACTATTTATATTTGGTTTTTTATTTAATTTATATTTAGTTTTATTTTTTTTTATTCTTTCAATAAATTTTAAAAACTTTTTGTTAAATTCTACTGTGTTTTTTTACTTCACCTCAAAATTATTCATGCACTCTAACGTATTTTTTTTTTAACTTTTTACACTTTTCTTGTGCTTAGAAGTGATAAATAATTTTTTCACATAACCTCAAATTTTTTTTTCTATTTAGTGTCATTTCAATTTTTTCACTGTTACTTAATTTTCATTAATTTGTATTTCATTCAAAAAACTCTTTATTTAAATTTTTCTGCTACACTTACACTATTTCACTTATCTCCAAGTTTTTAGTTTGTTTTTGTAATCCACTATCTTCTATTTTAATATCAAAGCCTAAGCTTTTATTTAATTCTCGGTAAAAAAGAACTTTGGGCGTTCCGAGCCCGACGAACAACGCGGTCAGACTGAAGTTATAAAATGGAATTTTTATATGAAAGCGCCGCTGCGAGAATACCACACACATGTGAGTACTAAAAAAATTATATTGGTATGTATGTACATATGTGTGGTTTTGAACACACTTATACAAACGCAGAAATGTCACTCTTTCTTGGCGATAAAAAAGTCATTGAATTATGCTCATTTTTTATAGTTTTTAATTTTATCAGCTGAGAAATAAAAAAATATACGAATAACGACGTTTGACCGCGTTTTCATGAAAGCTACAGGAACGAATTTGAGAATAAATAGCATTTGTTTTGGAAAAAAGTGTGAATTTATGCAGAGAGCTTTTACAGAAATAAAAATTCTCTGTTGTTGAAGCATTTCTCCTGTGAAACTCTATTTGAAGTTGCAAAATGAGATGGTTTGAACGACGATGAAAAGGTTTAATCGAAATATTTTTACTTTAGCAAAAGCTTCTTTTCTGTTCAGCTTGTTTCGGAATGTAAATTAAAATTAGAAATAAAAATTATTATAATTTCCATGAAAGCTAAAAGATAAAAAATGTATTTCATTTTTATTTTTATGGTTTCACGAATGAATGAATTCGTCAGAGAAGCACCTTTCTTTTATTCAAAGTATTCAGAGCTTTTTTTCTAATTGAATACATTATTTTAATAAATCTTTCAAAAAATTTCTGAGATAAATGTAATTTAAAAGTTATTTCTATAAGAGAAAACTTCCCATTCTTAAAAATCATTAAGGTGGACAAAATTTATTTTGTAAACAAATTATATTCGAGAGCTTTATTAAATATATGGTCAAATCTTAGTAGCTTTGAACTTAAAAAAAAAATATAAAAGAATACACATATTTGCACACATCTATATTTTACTTTGATATTATTTTGAAAAATTTCTACTTTTATATTATTTTATGAAAAGAATTTGAAATTTCAAACATGCCTTAAATATTTTGAGAACATATCAAAAGACTTCTAAATTTTGATGCTGCGTTTTTGATGTAAATTTTTATAAAGAAAAAGTTTTTAGAAAGTTTAATTTATGCATTGAAAGCGTAATATATTTTCCGACAATTTTCCAAATTTTCAGAATAGACAATTTTTACTGCATAATTTGCAGAGCTTTGAGATAGAAACGAACATTTCAAGTGAAAGCTTTTCAGACAACTTAAAATTTGATAGATTTTTCGGACGAAGCTTTAATTAAATATTTGAAAGCGAGGAACCATTTTGAAAGCTCGCCTTATGCACGAAGAGCTTAACGATTGCCCCTTAATTTTAAGAAAGTATAAAAAACAATTGTGATTGCATAATTTTTAATTCGACCCTTTCAGAGGGAAACTAGGAATATTGTATTTTTTCAAGTGAAAACTTTCCGGATAAATTCTAAAATTAAAACTATTCCATATGAAGTTTTTATTTTAAGTTTTCTGTAGAGTAAAAACGGTTTGAGTGCTTAACATCTTCTTTATAAGCTTTTGGGAATCTCAACAATTTTCTGAATCTTATAAAGTACATAGATAAAAATCGTTATTTATTAACTTTTAAAGGACAAAATTTATTCAGGCTTTGAAGTAGGAACATTTTTAAAATACTTTTTCAATCGAAAGCTTTTCGAATAACTTCTGAAATGAAAGCTTTTCCGAACGTAGCACTATTTTTTTTAGAAAGGCGCTCCTTTTTGAAGGTTAAATTAAATCATTTTAAAACTTTGTGGATTTCCGAAAATTTTCTCAGATCTTTATAAAAGTGCGCAATTTCGGACGTGAATTTTTTGTAAGTTCTAAAAAAGTAGAAGTAAATTTTCAAAAGTTTGGAGCTACAGTCGAGCTTTGAGCTTCTTTTCATTTTGTCATCGAATAGACACTTTTCCATTATCAAAATCAACTTTCACTGAATATTCTCATTAAAATGAAGTTTTTTCCTCATTTATATTTGTGTATGTATATTTATATAGTTCACACAGTGATTAACTGATAACGCTTGAACTAAAAATATGACTTATGCTACACACTACATTCTCGCAAACATAAATGTAAGTTTGCATGTAAATATGTATGCATGTAGGTACATACGTATATAGGCATGAGCGGCGCCAAGATGTTGAAACTGTCATAACTATTGTATTTAAAATCAAAGCCGAATCTCAGAACACAAAAAAAAAAAAAACCTTAAAACTAAGAACAATTGAATAAGTACACTTATGTTTATGTGTTTATGTATGTAAGTAAGCACATAAAATATGCTTTTATAACATCAAAGATTCATGTGCTCATTAGAATTTTAAGCCTACTTTTAAGTAATGTATGTACATTGTAGGTATATATGTATGCATTCTAAAGCCTCAACTGATAAAGAGTTCATTCACTGATTTAGCTTTATTATACGTATAAACGTATGTATTGTACTTATGTACATACAAATTTATTATATGAATTTTTGTGACTTTTTTCATCAAATTTTTTATTTCAAAGTAGTCCATGTGTTTTTGTATGTGTTTTTTTTTCGTTTTTTAATGCGCAGGCAATTTTAGTTTGAAAGTTAGGGAAAGAAGAAGAAGAAGCTTTTTCTTTACTTTAAACATTGCATGCTTCAACGCACACACTTGTATTCATATGCATGTAAGTGTACTTATTTTATTTAGCTTAAATTAGCTGCAATGCTATTTGCAAATTAGAATTAGTGAATTTTTTTAATGGGAACAAAATAAAAGCGCAAAAAAGGAATACCACAGACATGACAATGCACTTGAGCGCACACTTCCATTGCTTTTGTTTTTGTTAATTTTTGTTACACACTCGGTTCCATGTTGTTATTGTACAATCGTTGCCTTTAATGCATTCAAATACTTGAAATATTTTTTTATTTTATTATTATTTTTTTGTGGACATGAGCTCATCCGGCTACTCATCCATCTAATCCTCACTGAAAATAGATCCATGAAATAATTGTGCAAATTTTTATTGCTATTATTTTTATTATTATTATGTTCTTCACTACATTTTTTTAGGCTAACTGCTATATGAGCACTTTGCGCGTTATTTTTACATTTTTTCGCTTTTTGTCCTAAGCCATTTTTGTCTGTCGTTGACGTGCTTGTATTTTAGCTAATGTGCAAACTTAATCCAGAACTTGAAAATTTATCTCTCATTACTTCGTTAAATATTTGCACAAAAATAAAAACACAAAAATGTTGAGCGGAAAAATTAAAAAATTAAAAAAAAAAAAACAGAAATATGTTTGCAATATGTGTTTGACTTTTTTGAGCTCAACAGATGGGTGGCTGTACAACAGCATACATACACAAACATATCCGCATATTTTTATTTGTGTGGGAATAGATTGGAATTTTTATACACTTACATAATATCATTAAATCTGTTCACGTACGTGGATTATGATTAAAAGCTTTTTATATCAAAACTCGTCATTCATATCCTTTTTTGTCTTAATTATGTATTTTTAAGTTTCATAATTGAATAACAATAAGGAAACTAAAATAATACAAACTAAAAAGAAAAAAAATTAAATTAAAGTCACAATAAAATAAAATAAAATAAAATAAAATAAAATAAAATAAAATAAAATAAAATAAAGTAAAATAAAATAAAATAAAATAAAACAAAATAAAATAAAATAAAAAGAAATAAAATTAAATAAAATAATTAAACTAATATAAATTAGAATAAAATTTAATAATCCAAATAAGATAATAAAAAATTAAATAAAAAGAAATAAAATAAAATAAAATAAATT